TCAGGGCCAGTGCTCTACCCACTGCACCACCTAGCTGTCCCCAGCCTTTTTCATTCTTAACTCTAGTGCCTTCCCTCTGTTGAATATTTTCTAATTATACTGTAAATACTTTGTATATTGTCTCCCACATTAGATTGTGAGCTTCTCCTCAAGGGCAGGAACTGTCTTTTGACTTTCTTAGTATCCCCAGTACTTAGTACAGTGCCTGGCACATATACACTGAATAAATGTTTTTTGACTGATTGACATGGCCTTTGAGAACCTGAGTTTACTTCCATGAGTTTACTGACATGATAAGTCAAACAACAAGCTTTATTGGAAGTTGAGAGATGGAATGTCATGTGTAAGGAGCAGCAAATAGGAAGGTCAGTGAAGCTGGATTGCAGAAAGAGTACGGAGGGTAGCAAAGTGTAAGAAAACTGGATAGGGAAAAAAGTATGAGGTTATGAAGGATTTCAGATGCCAAGCAGAGGATTCTATACTTCATCCTGGAGGTAATAAGGAACCACTGAAGTTTTCTGAGTAGAGGCAGTGTCATGGTCAGAGCTGCTTTTTAGAAAATCACTTTGAAAACTAAGTGGAGGATGAAGTGGAGTGAGGAGAGACTGGAGGCACGGAGACCAACCAGAAGGCTAGTACAGTGTTTATACATGTACATAGGCACTCAACTAATTGATTTCTTATACTGCATATGTTTAGTTTTGGAGGGAAAAAGACTAAGAGGGGGAAGATGTTATTGTTGGTAAATGGAACAGTGTTAGTAAATGCATGAAGGAAAACAGGAAAAACACAGGGTATGTTTAGGGAATGATGGGTAGTTCAGTTTCCTAGAACTTGGGGAATCTAGGGAGCATTAAGAAATAGGTTGAAAAGGATGTGTTGGAACCAGAGCATACCTTGTATTTTATTTTGTGGGTAACAGGAATTCATTGAAAGATGTGGGATTTTATTTTTGTTTTTATCAGTGGAGTGGCATCATCACTTAGGAAACTTTCGAATCTATGTAATTGAGGTGTGATGAGGGCCTGAACTAGATTAGTGGCAGTGAGCATGGAAGGGAGGAATAGATTCAGAAGGTTTAACTTGAAAGAACAAAGACTGAACTCATTCATCTTATAATAAAGTGTTAACAGACCCATCTGGGGGACTCCATCTGAATCTAGAAGCTGGAAATGCAGCAGAACTCCACAACCTCCTACCCATTGATGTTTTACTGGGAAGTGACCATGAGACCAGCAGAGCAAGACTTAGCAACAGCCTCTGGGAAGAAACAACTCACCACACCCACATGTCCAGCAAAGACCACTCACCTGGCAAAGACTGCCTGCCATTTGGGATAATCAGGGAGCAGGCTTGGCAGAAGCAGTGCACAAGTCTTAGCAATAGTTTTGATGTGAGGAGTGAGAAAGGAGGAGACTGATGACTTTTCACTTACTGATGAATAAGAGAATCATGTTTCCATTAACAGATGAAGATAGGCAGTTGAAGGTTACAAAGGGATTAGTTTGTTTTTAGGCATGTTAAATTTGAGTTGTGGGTTGTACTTGGGGCACCTCCACCTTGCACAGTGGATTCCCCCAATTAGGCTACCCCATGTTTCAGGGTACTCTGTAGGTCTGCATTCCCCAAAACCACAGCTTACAAGTGCCCACTGTACCTTTATTCATGAGCTAGAGAACACCATTAATTTAAAATCAGGACCATTTAGTGAAATTACATGGTAAGAAAAGTGTTAATAAAACATTCCTCTCATAAACCTGGGGCACCCTTTGCCACTAATATGCACATCCCCACTGGGAAGAGGGAACACATCTAGGGGACATGCATGGAGATGTAGGTATATAGGGAACAAGTATGATTGCGGCACAAGCAAGGAGGGTCAAGTTATGCCTCCTGCACAAGACCACTTTCTTCTAGCAATGTCATTACGCTGCTTCTGCCAGGCTTGCTCCCTGCTTATCTCAAGTGTCATGCAGTCTCCACCAGGTGTGTGGTCTTTTCTGGACATGTTAGTGTGGTGAGTTGTTTCTTCTCCATTTTGTTCTCATGTGGCTGTCTCTACTCTGCTGGTCCCATGTCACTTCCCAGGGCAACACCACTGGTCAGGAGGAGTTCTGTTCCACTTCCCCTCCTGGCCTCAGATGGAGTCCTCAACTGGTGTATTAGCTCTTCATTATAAGACAGTGGGTTCTGCTGTTGCTATTTAAAGTGAAGTCAGTAAACATTTATTAAGCTTCTACTGTGTGCCAGGCACTGTGCTAAGCACTGGAAAAAATATAAAGATAAAAACAAAATACATCCTGCCTTCAAGGAGCTTACATTCCACTGGAAGAAAACAAAGACCACACAAATAAATAGATAAAATATATACAAAGTAAATACAAAATAATTTTGGGAGGGAAGTTGACACTAATAGTATGTTGAAATAGGAAAAATCTTTGCTAAAAAACTGGCAATTAGCCTGGACTCCAAATTCAGCTTTTTATTCTATTTCATTACACTAGGTTAAAGAGGCCCTGAAAGGGGCAGTGGAGTCCAAAGGTTTTTTCTTCTACAATTCTTTTTAAAAAGTAAAAGCTCTAATATAGTCTCATTGGAATAGGATTGGAGAAGAGGGAAACCTTCAGGATATTTTTCCTGTAATAAAGTCTTGTTTCTTCAAGTCGTTTGTTGTTGTCATCATTGTTTTTACTGTAATGTCTATTTCCTCTATAGAAAGACATTCCTTACCCTGGGCCAACCTGTTTGGAACACAGATCCAGAATCTCTGTAGCTAACCAGTGTCTTTCTACCTGAATTTCATGGTTATTAATGGAAGGATCTGTATTGGAAGCTTCACTCTGACTTGGGAGTAAGAGGTTTCTTGTATTCTCTGTATTCAATTCCCTATTGTTAAACTGCTCATAACATCTGTTTTAGAGGCTTCTTTCACGATAAAATGCTTTGAGGTCTTCTAGTTTTCAATTCCAAAATCTTTGTTATCCCATGCAAATGAGGTGGGAAGAAGGGGGAAGGCACATGAAAACCTAGGAAGCAAGGCCCTTGTTTTCTGCCTGCCTAGCCACATTTCTGCCTTTATTATGTATATGTAACCGTCAGTAAATCTCACATGTGTACGTGGGACTGGCCACATACCTGCTTTACAGTGTCCAAATAGAGATGTCTACTGGGTAATTAGAAATATGGAGCTGGAACCAAAAAACAGAAATGGTTGATGCTTAAGATAAAGATTTGAAAACCTTTTGTGTAGAAGTAGTTGAATTGCGTATCACTGCCATGTCCTTTATAAAACCTTCGATATTCTAGCCCACTTTGTTCTTTCCCTTCTTGAAACTACCTTCAAACTTCTAATCTATACCACATCATTCAGAATTTATTGTATACTGTCATATTTGTAGTACATTTTAGGCTCCATATCCCAACTCCCACTTGCATTAGCAAATTGGATCCCTAAAGGGCAGTTACTGTATCTTCCCTCAGGGTTCTTGGAGTAAACTCTGAGGGGTTGGAGGATGCTTTTCTACTTCTGTAACTCATTAACCCTATGGGTGTATATCCCCTATTAATTATCAGTTAATAGCAATTAGCGAAACTTAATTAGATTTTATAAATGGGTATTTACTAGGGTGTACAGTAAGAACAATTGGTACAAACCATCCAAAATCTGGGACACACTTCCCTACAAGTATATACAATCTAGAGGAAAATGTGCTCAATCTGAAAGCATATGAGGTAGAGGGAATAACTCACAGTACCCAGAAATCCTTTTGTCCTCTTCATAGAATCCTCATGAAGTTCTCCATAGGTAGAGTATAGCTTTCTGCTGGGCTTCTTGTAAAGTGCTAAAGTTGTTCTTCCTCCTTTGGCCAGGGCTTCCAATGTAGACACTCCCACTGCTCCTTTCCCCTTTGGAGACACTGCTAAAACACCGAGAAATCCAAACTTTCCCATACCCTCTGATTTAAAGTGGAGAGCAAGGAATAATACCGATGTTCTTCACTCTGTTTGTCCCGTCCCTGCTTCTCAAGTAATTCCCTTTCAGCGACTCCACTGAACTATTCTTTCCTCCAGGCTGCCAGGCCCAGGAAAAATGTGCATATTTGAACTAACTTGTTTTATTAATACAAGTCCCACAGGGTGTGACTGAGTCTCTTCAGCCAGTCCCAATACAACTCCTGTGCAGTGTCATTCAAATTTATCCAGTGGTTTTTCGCTCTCTCTTCTCACATATTTAACTAAGTTGTTTGTACTTTAATGCCTCTGATTTATTTATTCAAAAGATTTCATAGCTAATATTTATATAGCACTTACAATAACCAGGCACTGTGTTAAGCACTATACAATTATATGTCATTTGATCTTCACAACAACCCTGGGAGGTAGGTGCTATTATTATCCTCATTTTGCAATTGAAGAAACCAAGGCAGATGGAGATTAAGTGGCCAGATTTGAACTCGAGTCTCAATGACTCCAGGCCTAGGACTCTATCCACTGAGTCAGCTAGCTGTCTAGACCTTAGCCCATACATCTGATTAACTGATTTAATGGAGAAGTGTTGCTCTCACTTATTGAGGTAGAGACATAAAACACCCCTCTTACATATGGTTCCCTGTGGTTTTATGTGTTTATGCCTTTTCTTTAACTAGATTATAAGTTCATTGATTACAAGGGACTATATCCTATACTATTTTTGTATCTCCTCTAGTTTCTAAATATGATCCTGGCAAGTTGTAGGTCCTCAAAAGTACTGTGCCTGACTTTGACAGAGTAATTATTTTTTTTAAGTAATAATGACAGATCAAAGTGGGAAAAGAAATTTTTGTTTGTCACAAGTTGCTATTTTGTTGTACTTCTATTGGGAAGTTTTAGGATAACTTAATGCATGCCTTTCTCAGTTGATCCAACTATTAGCCATTGTTTAGACGAACTCATTCTTTAATGAAATAAAAATTTCAGTGCTTTTGTTACTTTCTAGCTGATCAAAATCATCCTTTTTCTAGGAAATGTTAATGAAAACTAGTACTGAGACTGCTGAAGTTTTCATTGGAAACAACAGAATTCTTTGATTTACCATCTTCCCCTGTAATGGAACAGATATTTTTGGTGATAGTTGACCACCATTTAGAGATGGACATAGGTAAGTTGTATATATTTTTTGAAGAATAGGCCAAATTATGTGGCTTTAGAAGCATTTATCCTTCATCTTTCAAAAGGTTAAAAATTTTAAAGTTAGACTTATACTTTGGTAGAAGCAAATGTTAAATTATTGATATTTTGTTAGAAGTACTTGAGAAGATATGATATTGTTTGTGGTATATAAAGTGTACCTCACAGCTAAACACTTTGTGTAGGAGAATTGGGCAGAGGAAGAGTACTGGAAAATTATTTTAAAATGTTTTCAAAACATTCTGATCAGAAATAAAAATGTTCTGGGATATTAACCATTTACTAAAAAAAAATCAAACATTTATTTCTATGACATTTACTTAAACTTTTACATAATTGAGCTTGGCATGCCAGAATTCTTTTTCCTCATTGGATTTAACACCATCATTTAGCTCAGGAACTTGTGAAATGATTGATGAACCTAGTCTTTACTAAATAAAATTAAAACCACTGTAACTATATGTGCATGCAACATATCCAGGAAACTTTTGAGCTAAAAATTTGTTGTTGCTCCTCTGGTCAATAATGTTCTTCAACTTTTCTGGATATAAAATCATGAAATCATAGAGCCTTAGAGTTTGGAGGGACCTTAAAAGATGAGGAAGCTGGGGCAGCTAGGTGGCGCAGTGGATGAGCACCAGCCCTGGAGTCAGGAGGACCTGAGTTCAAATGTGACCTCAGACACATAACTCTCACTAGCTGTGTGACTCTGGGCAAGTCACTTAATCCCAATTGCCTCACCCCCCCCCAAAAAAAAGATGAGGGAGCAAGGTCAAATGTATCAAGTCATACCTCTCGATAATCACTAATAAAGTCAATACTAAATCTTTTTCCATTATTTAAAATTTCCCTGTTATTTAAAATTTTTCTGGATTTTGGTCCCTTGTTAATATTGCAATGTCATGAGAACTTAAGGAAAGTCTCTAACATGTTGGGTGACTCCCCAGTGGTGAACTTAAGGAAGGATACAGATAAGAATCACACAGGACGGGCCAGCATGGATAGGTTGCAGTCTGCATTGTTGGAGGCAATACCCATAGTGATGAGAAAACAGATCCATTTTAATATTCAGTGTGGAAAAACTTCTCATTTTCTTTTAAAATTGTTAAGTAAGGGGGCAGTTAGGTGGTGTAGTGGATAGAGCACTGGCCCTGAAGTCAGGAAGACCTAAGTTCAAATCCATCCTCAGACCGAACACTTGACACTTACTAGCTGTGTGACCTTGGGCAAGTCATTTAACCCCAATTGCCTTAAAAAAAATTGTTAGGTATGAAACTTTCCATTTTCCTGCAATTTCTCTTCCCACCTCAAAAATTTATCTTTCCCTGTGCCCAGCAAAAGAATAGGAGCATGTGGGGAAAGAATAAGAGGGAATATTCTCTAGTCAAATTGGTTTATAAGAGTAATATATGAAGAAATTTCTATACCATTTCAAAAACATTTCCCTTTTATAAAAGCTTTTATAAGCTACATATCTGGGTGCTTAAAATGTACCCAGTTCTCAAAATATTCTTCATATACATGTGATATGAAAGATACTCTGCCCTTGAATTATTTGGGAATTAGTCTTAGTTGGTTCGAGCTATGTTTATAAACTACTGAAATGTCATCTCTTTTCTCTCTGGCTACCCAGCAGCCTGCTTTACTCCCAGCCAAACTATCTCCCTGCACTTAAGACTTGTACCTAAGAGGACATAACCAACCAGAGATGGGAAACCTGCAGCCTCAAGGCCACGTATTTGAGGTTGCAGATTCCCCATTCCTGACTGGACAATCCAATGGAAATTGAAAACAAGGCTATTTAACAAGTGATTAAAGCTTAGAATAAATGTCTCAGAGAGAGTTGAGATCTTGGACGTGGAATTGTATTGCCTCATGCTGATGAATGAAGAATTCGTTTTATAGGGGAGAGGATGGAAGGAAAGAAGTACTCAGCATTTATGTAGTGTCTGCTATGTGCGAGGCACTGGGCTGAGTCCTTCAAGAAGTGAAGGTGAGGCGGTCATGCCCTTGTGGCAGGTGGGCACTGTTGTCACCCAAATCTACAACCTCAGAGCCATCCTCAACTCCTCACTCTCCCTTATCCCATACGCCCAGTGAGTTGCTGTGTTTTGTCTAATTTACCTCCACAACATTTCTCACATTTTTTTCTCTACTCACATAGTTACCACCCCAGTTCAGACCCTTACCTCATCTGGGCTATCATAACAACCTCTTAATTGAGCTTCTGCCTCAAATCATTCCTCTGTCCAATCCATCCTTCACACAACTGCTAAAGTTATTTTCTTAAATTGCAGGTGTTACCATGTCACTCACTTGTGCACTAAATTCCAGTGGCTTCTTGTCACCTCTAGGAGGCAGTGTGGTACAGTGGAAAGAGCTCTGGCTCTAGCTTCAGAGGACCTGGGTTCAAATGTCACTTCTAATACTTCCTCTGTGATCTTGACTGAGCCATTTAACTTCCCCAGACTCTCATCTTCATCACTTTCTTCATGTGTAAAAGGAGGAGGTGGACCAGATGCCTTCTGGATCCCTTCTTGCTCTAGACCTTTTGTCTCCAAACTCTTTTGTTTTATATTTTAAAAACTCTTCATAACCTGACCCCAGCATACTTCTCCAGTTTTATTACATATTATTCCCTTTCATAATACATTCTTTTCCTAGACTTCTTACTGTTTCTCATCATGGCTCCCTGTACGTTTGCACATGTTCTTTTACCTACCTTGAATGCACCTCCTAATAGCATCTGATTTCCTTCAAAACTCAGCTCAAGCCACCTTTATCATAAAGCTTTCCCTGGTTCCAAAATTTAGTACTTTGCTGTCAGTTATCTTGTATGTATTTTGTATATACCTATATTTCATATGTATATGTGTGTGTGTATGTATATATGCATATATATTTTCATGTTGTAACTCCCAGTAGAATGTAAGCTCTGTGAGGGCAAGACTTTTTTCCCTTTCTGTCTTTGTATCCCCGTTGCCTGGCACATAGGCATTTAATAAATGTTTGTTGATTGACTGATTGGAGTGTCCAGTTCTGAGAACAGGTAGTAGGCATTTTTGGTCGAAGTATGGAATGTTTGAAGGGGAGTAATTTGAAATAAGTCTGTAAAGGTAGGCAGGAGTCAGGTTTTCAAGAATGCCAAGCTGAAGGAGTTTGTGTTTCATCCTAAAGACACTAGGGACTCTGTAGCATTTTGAGCCAGGGGAGTGACATAGTTAGACTTGCATGTTAGGATTACTAGTTTGGCATAACAAGGGAGACCAATTAGGCTATTACAGCAGCCCAAGGGAGGGCTGATAAGGGTCTTGTGAGTATAGAAAAGGGGACTGGCATGAAGGATGTTGAGAGAGAGTTTATAAGACTTGGAAACTGATTAGCTAGAGGGCTGAGGAGAATGAAGAATCATAGATGACTGACATTATAAAACAGTGACTGGAGAAATGGTAGTTCCCTCCACAGAACGAGGGGCTGGTTTAGAGGAATATAATGATTGCCATAATATTAGGCTTGAAATACCAGTGAGACATCCAAATGGAGATGTCCATCACAAAGCTGGTGAAGTGAGAGTAGGGTTAAAGAGAAAGAATCGGGGTAGATAGAGAGATTTGGTAGTCAGCTACATAAAGGTGAAAATTGAATGCATGTGAGCTGATGGCAGTGTAGAAAGAGATGGGGGTGGAAGACAGCTTTGAGGGACACCCACACATGGGTGGGAGATAAATGATGATCAGCAAAGGAAAATGACCAAGAGTAGTTAAACAGGTAGAAGATCAGTGTGACTGAAGTCATGGAATAAAAAACAAGTAGTATAAAATGAAAAATCACACTTTCCTATAGAATCTGGTTTTTTGTGTTCAGCTACCTATGTGGAAATATTCTTTGAGTTGGTTTAAATACTGGATTCTCCCCTAGACTCTGCCTCCAAACTGTTTCATGAATAAGACATTCATGGCTCTGAGCATTTTCTCTGGCTGTCCCCTATCACTAGAATTCTCTTCCTCTTCATCCACACATATTAGTTTCCCTGGCTTCCTTGAAGTCCTAACTAAAATTCCTTCTACAGGAAGCTTTTCCCAATCCTTCTCCATTGTAGGAGGAGGATCCAGCAAAGGAGACAGAGGGGAGTAGTTGGATAGGTAGGAGAAAAATTAGGAAAGAGTGGTGTCCCAAAAACCTAGAAAGAAGAAAGTATCAAGGTAAAGAGAGTGTGATCAACAATGCTGAAGGCTGCAGAGACGGTGGAAGAGAAGGAGAATTGAGAAAAGGCCATTGGATTCAGCAACTAAGAGATCACTAGTAGTTTTGGAGAGAGCAGTTTTGGTGGAATGATAAGATCAGAAGCTAGATTGTAAGAGGTTAAGAATAGAGCGAGAGGAAAGAAAGTGGAGGCACCGATTGTAAATTGGCTTTTCAAGGAGTTTAGCTACAAAGGGCCAAAGAGATATAGAATGATAGCAGGGATGGAAGGATCAAGTGAGGGTTTTTCAGGATAGACTAAACATGGGTGTGTTTGTAGGCAGCAGGAAATAAGCCAATAGGAAGAGATTGAAAATAAATGAAAGAGTAGGCATGGCAGAAGGCATTGTGTTGGATGAGAGGAGATGGAATGGGATCACTTTAACAAGTTTAGGGTTAGCCTTGATAAGGAGTAAGGCCTCTTCATCATGTGAAACAGGTGAAGGAGAAGAAGTGACAGAAGGTATCTGAGTGATAGGAGATGAGGAAAAGGGAGTTCATGGCAAATAACCTCAGTTTTTACTAAGAAACAAAGAGAAAATGAAATGATGATAGGTACAAGAATAAAAAGTTCTTAGAGGATGAGTTCCTATCATGTCTAATCTAGTCGTCACCAATATAAAAAGTAGCCACCTGTACTTTTTGTTGGCACAGTTTTGGGTATCTAGTTGGGCTTTTGTTATATCCAAGACTGCAAGTTCCTTCCCTTGTACTGGCCTATTTACTGAG